TAAGCCACATTTTAGGTAGAGTAAGCCACATTTTATGTACCTTTCGTACATATTTTGATAGGATTTAAAGTAAACTAATAGCCTATATGTTCCACTGCTGGGCAAAAGCCTTCTTTGTAGTACAAATGTTTGAAATCGTTTTTATATTGATTTGCAACTGCATTTCTTTCAATAATATAATAATGTATGTAAATGTATGTGAGAAAAAATGTATGTCGTTATTCGCCGTCTTCTTCGCCGAGCACGTGATAAATAAACACTTAAAATTGGTTGGTAACTGCACTCTATATATAGCGAAATTTGTTTGTAATTATTTCAAACCATATACCAGAGCCTATGTTGAACAATGTATAAGGAAAAGCCTTATACATTGTTCAACATAGGCTCTATAAACCCGAGGATAAGATATAAATCGGTATAAAACCTGTCCCATAATTAATAGTTGTCAGAACTGAATGCCTAATTTCATTTTGTTCATACTCGTGTGTATGTTTTTAGATAGAAGAGATAAATAAAAATATAGGACAAGTGGAAAGTAACTATGTTAGGTTCATATTAATGTTAAGTACCTGGAGGATGTTTTTTTTTGGTAAATCGTGTATTTTGGAAATTACATTTAGATACAAATTATTAAGTAATGAAATATGCATAATATGTATCGATCTTACCGACGTAATAATAAGAAAATATGAACTGGTGTTTTTCAGAAAAGAAAGAACTTTAAAAAAAGGGGAAAAAAATAACAAAATAACAAATCGACAAAAATAACAGATAAAGAAAGCAATGATCTGGAATCAAAAAAAAGTAATAAAAATAAATGTGTAAATGATCGTGATACGAACTACGGCCTTCCGTTTCGTGGCTGTTTGTTAGCGGCCGCCCGATTACAGATCGAGCTATTATAACATTTTTTTTTTCGGTGAAATTTACAGTCGTATTCGAATAATATTTTTCATTCCCTGAAAAGTGGGATAAAACGACATTTTCTAAAAATGAAACCTAGTCAGATCTATTTTTCGCCCCCGAATCAACGCACATACTAAATTTCACGAAAATCGCTGGAGCCGTTTCCGAGATTCCAATGATATATATATATATATATATATATATATATATATACAAGAATTGCTCGTTTAAAGGATAAGATTTCTCATTAAATTTCTAGTATAATTACAGATCATGTGTTAACGAGATCCTATAAATTTACACATATAAGAATCATTCGATTTGAAATACTTCATCCAATTCGTAACGATTTTTCTTTTAGTCTCCTATTAGAGCAGAAATGAAATTGGTGATGAGATCTTAGTAAAAGTCTTCAAGATCTAGATTGAACTCGTTTTAAATTTTCTGTACATGTAGATCGATGGTGAACGGTATCTTGTTATTATTTTCAATTGCTCTTCTTGACTTGACATAATTGAACGAATGTTCACAGTTAAATTTAAGGGACGCGTTACTTTAAGGCACATTTATTACACGAGGGAGAAGAAATATATGACGCAGAAAGAAGCTGTATACGGTATTGCATCAGTTTATCCGCGTTTATCTTTTGCTTGGTCCTTCGACTTTATAGTCGAAGTTTCACTAATTCTATCACGTTTCAGAAATGTCTTCAATACAAATGTGTCAATTATGTTCACATATTTTGTAAGGTTAACCGCTAGTCGGAACTTTGCTCGATTAAAAATTTACTACGGAAAATACTTCGCTGGTGTGGATTACATAGTTCGCTGAGGTCTCCATCGAGGCCACCCCTCAATCAACACAATGCCGTAAAAGTCAATAATAATAGGACAGATGAATCCGAGGCTAAATTTCGTCATTTCATCATTCGTTTAACTACATACGGCTCTTCGCTTATACGATTTCCCAACGGAGTGACGCAAAATTTCGTAAATAGCGAATCGATTTTTTTATCATACACCTTAATTATTAATAAAACTCGGTTGATTGGGAATGTGTTGTGGTCTTTTTATTGGGATACATGCGCTCAGTACCGCTTGTCGGCCTTCATAAACGAGCCGCGGTCAGATCCCGGCTTTTTTTCCGTTTCAATTAATTAACAATAAAATATAAAAGTTTACGACGCCAAATTGTAACACAGTTGTAAACATCGAAGTAGAAAATCGAATGTGATGTCTTAGATCCGTTTGATACGGAACAGTTCATAACTGTGCTGGTAGCTGTAACGTGGATAAGGCAACCTGAGACACCCCTCCCGTCTTAGTTTAGTTTATGATTATGAAACAATATTTATTTAGTTTAATATACTTTTCTAAAATGTTCGCACAGATGGTATAGTAAAATTGACACAATAAGTGAATTAACATAAATCTTCACGTAGATTAAGAGATCCTAATTTGATAATTTTCTTCGTTTAAGATTTTGTCTATTTTACGGTTTTACTAGAAATATTTAAGTATTACTAACTATAAAAGTTTTAGGATCACACACAGTTGGGTTTTAAATGCTATTAAATTTGATTCTGTGTTAAGTGCTCTGTTAGTCTTAAGACTGAACTGGGATGTCCGTATCCAACATTAACTTGAATTCATACGACAGTTAACATTTTTTTTATAGATCACGTATTCCTTTCCACACAGGGTAATTAAGCCACTATTGCTTAACGGCGAACTAAGATTTTTATAATTTTTTACATATGCAAGTTTCCTCACGATATTTTCTTTTGCCGCCCAGCCAGAGGTAAATCTTCACCCACATTAGCTACAATTTCGTTAGTACCGGTTTTTTGAGTTGATTGTTGATATGAAGTATTTTCTTGATGCCGTAGTTGATTAGTGTTGTAAACGACCGAGACTTTAAGACTCGAAATATCTCAGTCTGTCTTGAAGCAAAGACGCCGCAAAGCGTTCGAAACTTTGCAATTTAAAAATGCAAATTAAACGCGATAAAACACGTGAATAGTTTTATATTATGTCGCGTAATACTCCCGTAAACATGGACAATTGTTTCCGTCTATTGTTTCAGCATCTAACGGCGGTCAGCCGTCGCATCCTCACTAATCCAGCGGGCACCCGGCCGCCCAGAACAGCCGATAAGTTAATTCGGCGTCAAAAGCTCGCTCGTCGGCGGCGCGTCATGACGCCGATAAAAACTGTCTTCGAACCGGCGACCGGATTCATTCCGAGTTAGATCCACACAGCCGATAGCGTAGGTGTCGCCGCTGGTCTCAGAATTTTTTTACGTAGATACAACAGCCGTTGGTAACGTTTCGACGTTCGCCTATTTGTAATGCCTCCCGTGATTCTGGCCTAGCGGATGCATTTCTTTTAATCTGTTGCCCTAAGAAATATTGATGGATGTTTAGCATTATTCCTACGTTGTAAGTTTATTTTAACTGAAGTGCTTGTCTTTATATTACAGATTGCTATTTAAACTAGCTTAGATGTCAAAACATTAAAAATAAATCGAGCACTTGAATTAAAGTACTTTTACTTATTAATATTATACTTTATTATACATTACAGGAATGAAATATATAACTTATGTTGTGAACGAGAGATCATTTAAATAACTACAACTTCAATAATCAGTAAGCTTTCATAGTGCTCTAGGCCTAGAGTGTATTTAGGCGAAAGTTATTTTTTATGGCCTATAAAAAAATTTCCTCACGTTTTTTTACACAATCTTGATCCGAAAAGAACGAAGCTTGTGAAATGTGAGCAATACAAGTCTGCAACCGTATATGACGACCACAAAAGAACTTGCCTTCCATACCCATAATCTAATCGACGAAGTAAAGTATTTTGTAAAAAATTCCGAATATCTTATTATCTCTTAATCAGTGGATTGTCACCGACGGTGTAGACACATAAAATGACTAGAAAAGTACTATTTGAATATTAGACAAGTGTGTCTAACATTTTCCCTGAATACATAGTGATGTTTTCAGGTTATACGTCGCTGAAGAAATTTAAAGGTGCCGGAAATATGGGGCTAAAGAGACCGGTCCACTAACTTACTAGACTTTATAACGACTTGACTTACTGTAGTTTACAAATTACCATATCCAAATAAATAGACTGAATTAGCTAAGAGGTATAATGTTAAGAATTGAGAAACCGGCGTGTTCGTGTGTCAAGTGGCCGTGGACAACTAGGGGCATACAAAACTATAATTACGTGAACGGCCATCCGAATAAAATTCCTCGAATGCGGGTAGTGTAGGAATGCGTGGTGTCGATATTATTCAGCCCATCGATAAAAGATATCGATAAGGCGCACACCAAGCCGCGGCAGCGTCGCAGCACGCTCATTAAGATTATTAGGTAGCGAGATGGGGGCAAGGGAATTCAAGAGGCGTCCCAAAAAATCCGGAAACGACGTGTGTGATCCGTTAAAAAGTAAACTCCGACGTTCCATGCCGTATCGGAGCGATCCCGAGTGTTTAATGCCGCGTTACCATCTCATTTACGAGTGCACTATGAGATATTACGATAAAAACGATATTTTATTGACGACAATAATTCAATAATCACGTTTTACGGGCTAAAATGGCGACAGCAAGGGGAGCATCGAGGCAGATCCAAGTGGATCGACCGCATCGGGCGCTGGGCAGATCTGTTAAAGCATGTATAATGTATTGAGGAGCGAGTCGCTCATGACCGGGTGGGCTCCCACTCGATACGGATCCGATATTATCTCGATACGAGATTCGGACTCCGATTGCCTTAATTACCGTTAATGGTCCACAGGCCGTGGTGAGGGTTCTTTGAAACGCTTATGATTCAAACGCGCGACGTGGATTCCACGGGGACCAAATCGCCTTATCGTCGTCGGCGCGAGCTTTGAACGCGGCCAGTTTAGTTTAATTAAGATCTGTACTCTCGTATTCTTATTTTGTTGTCGGTGCCGCTGCGAAAAATCGCGGCACTCAGCCGCGTCTGCGTGGGCCCGACGCGTATCGGTTTTGAACGGGGGGGCAATTAAGTTCGCCGATAGCGGGATCGCGTTCGGCACTTTGTTTTGATAATTTTAACGGCCGCGGATCGGCTGACTCCGCTGTCTCGGCGGTCTCAGATTGGCTCTCTTGGTGCCGCTGTCTCGGACCGGCGGTCTCGAATTGGCTGTACTGGACCCGCTGTCTCTAGCCGGCTGTCTCGGTCTAGCTGGCTCAGATTTCTGTCTCGGATCGGATGCCACATATCGTTCTTTCGTGATCAAATCTAGCTGCATCAAGATTGTATTCGCATTTGTGTATTATTATTTTTTATAATCATTGAAACTAAATACGAAAGTGTAGCTCATTCTGCGCGGATTGGAGGATATTAGAGTATCAGAAAAACTGACGATAAGCTAAGATAACTTTACCATTAAGACATAAAGGACCGCCGTGGTGGAATGGAATTGACCACTTAACATAACTGTTCGAAACAAGCAAAATATCATTATTTACAAAATTAAAACTAAAGAAAACAAAGTTAATGAAATAAGAATATTATTTCTGTTACTTAACTTTTCAAAGTAAGTAACGTCAATGAGAATAAGCAAACTTAACAAAACTATGAACCGTTCATTCGTTCAAAAACTACTATTATCAAGCAGTGCAAAAGAAAGCTAATGAAAACAAACAATTCAGAACATACAATAGTATAAATAACAGTAAAACTTACCTGTATGTGGCATCTTTGCACCGAGATCTGTGAAAAGAAACAAAAAAATTCGATCAATACAAACGCAACTAATTAAACGCAATTAAAAATCACAACATCGTCCGTACATTATGGAACCAGTAGCGTGAATAACTTAAAAAGCCGACCCCAGAATTTATTGGATCGGTGAATAAGTTTCTTTTCTCTCGCAATCAGGCATGGCGATCGGCGCCCGGGACCGAAATTATTAAAACGCGTGACATCTTTATCGGCCATTTTGTTGCCTTTCCCGCCAACGTTGGCCGCCGGCCACGACACCTCTCGTGCGTAAAGCACAAGCATCGCTAGTGATGCCAGTTTGCTGAATTTTATGGAAATATCATCGTTATTTAATCACGTGTTCAGCTGTGAAGGAAAACATCGTGAGGAAACCTGGATATTTTCGAAATAATAACAAAAAATATTTCGAAGATATGTGAAGTCCGCTAATCCGCAGTGGGGTCGCGTGGTGGACTATGCCCTGATATCGTCTGTACACAGGAGGCCTTTGCCCAGCAGTGGGACATGTATAGGTTGATACTTTACTTTACTTTATCATCGGTTTTTTGTAAATAAATTCGCTTACGTTAACTTATGCAATGAGATCTGGCAAATACATTATGTTAATTTGTTTAAATTTTTAATAAAGGCCGGTGGACTGTTAGAGTATCACACTGTGGTAAGAGAACTCATGGACACCTAACAAATTCTGTGGTGTATAAATTTTTAAAAGACGAACCTTCGGTTATCTTGATCATCATGTACCTATATAAAACGCAAATGTATATAAATATTTCTACTTTACATTACTTAGCAGTGATATTTCACTGTTTTTGTGGTAGCAGAAGCCGCCACTATGATATTGTACCTTAGTAGGAAATATTTTGTTTTATGCTAGGCAGACAGGTTATTGGTGACACTGTGAAAATTTTAAATATCGGTTCCAAAGAAACAGCTCTTAACGGAGGTCTTAACCAGATACTATGCGGGTACTTAGTTTCAATATTATCCACGTTTTGATTATTGCATCTGAAGATAATATTCCAAGATCCACCAAAAGGTGGTTGAAAAAGTTTCCCATCGTATATACATTTACTTAAAATAACCTAAGTACGTTCAGTATTAATTTATTATTAAATTTCAAAGAAATACTTTCACATTAATGGCTTAGGGTTCATAACGACAATTTAAAGGCGTTTCTATATTATTTCTGTATATTTCCCATCACTAATCCCTACTTTGAGCCTTATAGCATGAAAGCAGCACGGTTATGATTAACCCACCCATAGCGCACCGATAACACCCTTAAATAATAATTTATTCAAATTAAAAATACTTATCAGAATATGATGCGGTACTAAGTCATGAATTAAGTATGCCGGTGCGTGCGAGACGTGGAAATGGACGCTATCGCAGCCTCGATCACCGTGAAAATCGAAAAAATAATCACGACTTAACCGACGCGTAAGCGTAACACGCGAATGTCAGTTTAAAAAAGCGCGCGAGTTCTCGCGCGGTGTTTTTAGGTTAGGATTTGTTTACCGAGATACTGTTTATTTAAAACTAGCTTTTCGCCCGCGGCTTCGCTCGCTTTAAACCGTTTACAACATTTTTTTCCCATTAATAAATAGCCTATGTCCTTTCTCAGGACTCTAGACTATCTGTGTACCAAATTTCAGTTAAATCGGTTCAGTAGTTTTGATGTGATAGCGAGACAGACAGAGTTACTTTCGCATTTATAATTTTAGTATGGATAAGTGAAGTGAAGGATCATATTGAAACTTATATGCTAACCTAAATTGGGATAACATATAATCTTACAGGGTAGATTAAGCAAAGCAAAACGTGTTCTTAGCAAAATGTACTTAACTTATAACTTAACAAAATGTACCCGGTCTTAAGTGATTGCCGCCCATGGACATCAGAAGCAGTTGCACGTGTGTTGGCAACTTTTAAAGGATGAGGCTACATAAAGGATTTGAGGCTACATGACTCACCAAAATATAAGTTGACAACATTATAGATAACAAAAATGTTAGGGAATTATAATATAAAGTTTATACTTTTTATATATGTCTATTATTTCCTGTATCTTTATGAAGGACTGGGATTTATGCCTATTACAAATAAAACATGGGAAACATTTTTTTTATCGCGCGTTTTGTGTATACTTAAAAAACACAAAACAACAAGCACCACAGCTAAGTATATAATAACAAAAAGTAAAAAGAAAATAAAAATAAAAATTATGTTATCTGTGGAAGCCTGCCGTGACCCTATTAAAAACGCGACCGCAGCTAGTTAGGGGCATGAAAAAAAAACTTTATCGTCCAATTTCCACGACGTAGAAGGGTAAGCGTATCGAAAGTATTGCGGAACCCATTAGCATAATGTTAGATGACAAAATGCTGTATTGTGTGGGTTATAACACGCCAACTAGCCCTCCGCGTCGAAGAATGAACAGTATAAAAGTGGACTTTTGACTCAATGCTTAATATTTCCAGTAACAATTCAAGCCATTCAAATATTATGCTACCGTATGTTTCACATAACTTAGAAAGATGTTCGAGCAGACATAACTACTAACTTTATTTATATACCTTGAAAGCTAACGAGGCGCTGAACAGAGTAAAAACTACTTAGTAGTTCTTTAAAATTAAGAAATATAACTTATCAGTAGAACAAATGACACAGTGTACCGAACCCCGTACTTGAACTAAATAAAGCCCCGTGCCACAGATAAAATCTAAGCGCGGGGCGTTCGAAACTAGCTCATGTCTCGCGCCAGTTTTCGCGTGATTGTAATAATTTGTGCGTATCTAAAGCTGAGCGTTTTATGGGGGCATTGTTGGGCGTTTAGGGTGTTCAGTTTAATGATTGTTGTAGGCAGGGTTCACGGGTACCGTGTCAGGGTCGCTAGCGTATAATTTGGGCAGGCCGGTTGAGTTTTACGCGTCGGAGTTAATGCCTCCGTTCCGTCGGTTCGGTTTTCCCGCGCGTTCCCGTTTTAGTTTCGTAAGTGTACCGTGTCAATTTAATCGTTCTGTTGGAAGGAGTACTTGCACGAACTCTGTCACGATGGAAGTAAAAAGTATGACTGGGATACAAATTAAAAGTTTCAAGTCGTTAAATGTTTAATATTAGTAGTCAGCTATTTATTTATACTTTATTTTACAAAAACATAACAAGTGCTGATTACAAATGAATGTAAATGAAGTAAAGTAAGACCCCGTGTCTTATCGCTCTGAAAACGATTTCTTCCAGACAACCATTGCTAAAGATTTTTAGCTAAAGAGACATAAAGGAAAGAGCACAGGGAGGTGTATATGAATCACTAATAAACTCAGGATTTAGTCCATGATATCATTATTAATACGTCAATGAAATAGGTAAATTCGAGAAACAAGTAATTTTTTTATTACCAAAAAACAAAACCGACTTATCTCGCCCTGTATAATATAATTCATACAGGAGTTCCCCTCGTATCTCCGGAGCCCAAAATCCAATACCAATGGGAAGCGCTAGTTTTAAAATAAAAAAAAGAATCATCAAAATCGATCCACTTAGTCGAAAGTTCTGAGGTAAAAAACATAAAAAAAAATACAGTCGAATTGAGAACCGCCTCCGTTTTTGAAGTCGGTTAAAAATAGCAAAAAAGAAAAAGGAGAGCATGAATTCACAGTTCCAAGTAACCAGCTTCTACTAGGTCTTTAAAAGAAAAAAAGAGACTTAGCTTGTCGTATATTTAGGCCAAAGATTTCCACAAACGAACAGCTGTCATTGTAAATTTTTTTTTGAAGAAGGAACGCCGGTCTTCTGTGAGCTCGGGGTACTTATCCAGACGGACCGACCCATGCATGAAACAGCCGAAGCTTTTGCGTAGCCCTACCACAGTTGTTTTTGTAATTTTAATTTGTATCATATTTTCAATAATTACGTTTACGAATACACATTGTTAGCTATGCGCTTTGTTTAAATATGAACGAATTTTAACAGGCGCGCGAAGTCTATCGCACCGTAAGAAGCAATCGCAAATATTTCACATTCGTGTAGACTGTGGAGCATGCGTGAAATTTATCAAGTGGCTGGACACGCACGCGACCGAAACGTGTTCAAAAGCTGTTTGAACTGGGCGGAATCAAAATATAATCTAATTCAGCTAGCTTATAACCTCAATGCTTTCATGCTCGTTTTAGGGTTCTGTACCCAAAGGGTAAAACGGTAAGACTCCGCTATCTGTCTGTCTGTCACCAGGTTGTATCTCATGAACCGTAATAGTGTCCGTTGAAATTTTCACAGATGATGTATTTCTGTTGCCGCTATGACAACAAATGAACAGAATAAAAAATATTTAAGCGGGGCTCCCATACAACAGACGATTTTTTGCCGTTTTTAATAGATAATTTTCAATTGGTTATTTTAATTATATTTATTTACAGATGGTTCTCCTTTTAAATTTAGAACATGAATGCAAATCACTATTTGAGTTTCCTCAAGTATTGAATGGATGTGCTATTTGAATTCGCCTAAGAATTTCTTCGTAAG